GTGTCTTGTCTCTTAAAGAGACAGGACAGATCTTTACAGAGCAGACCAGTAAGCCACATCCCCCATGGCCTCTGTGTCAGTTCTTGGCTTCCTTGGATGACGGACTATGGTCTGTAAGGCAAATAAATCTTTTCCTCTCCCAAGCAGCTTTTGGTCAGAGTGTTTTTATCGTGATAACAGAAAACATGCAAGAGCAGCCACCCACACTCAGGGCGTGTCTTTCCTCCTCAGTTACCCACAGACATGCCGGAAAGCATGTCTTCCAGGTGATTCCAAATCCAGTCAGATCAATGGTGAGGAAGATGAGCCATCCCAGGTGGATTTGGGCAGTGAGAAGCTGAAGACGGGCAAGCCTGTGCAGATACATGGTTCGTTCCTCTCCCACACAGTGGATTGTCCTGGCGAGCAACTGTCACATGTCACTTTTATGAACACATCTTCTTGAAGCCTCAGGCACTAGAGCTGAGTAACGCATGCCAGTACTCACGCTAGAGAGTCTATACCTCTCTTTCCTGTTTTCTTCACTCTTGCTTCCCTAGGACTGTACCTCAGCAAGGCATTGCCACGTCAGCCTTGGCTTCGTGCTCTGCTTTCTAGGGGGTGTGGGGGCTAAGCCTGTGCTTATCCTAAGACGACAGATAGGGTTGCTTAACCTTGCATGTTAGTTCTTATCAATTGGTCGGGGTTGCCTTGACTGTTGCCCTGAGAAATATTCTGAAACTCTCTTTTAAACTTACCTGGAGAGGGGTCATGTTGAGGAGCAATATCTGCAGGACCTGTCTGGAACATTCTTGACCTCTTGAAAGGTTACCAAGTTTATATGAGAGCAGATACATTTCCCCCACCCCACACACAGTGTTGATTTATCTCTGTCTCTCTCAAACTTAAATTTTAATTTTTAAGCAAAGTAACACACACACACACTCTCTCTCTCACACACACATAATTAAAATAATACTAGGAACTAGAAAGATGGCTTCTAGATTAAGAACTCTTGTGGTTCTTGTGGAAGGCCCAGGTTCAGTTCCCAGTGCCCATATGGTGGCTCAGAATTGTAATTCCAGTTTTTGGGGATTTGATACCCTTTTCTGACCTCTATGGGTACTAGGCTCATATATAAATTCAGGAAAAACATACACATAAACAAACCTAAACATAATAATGCTAGATGGCTAAAACCCAATAGCGACTTGGCCTTGACATTACACTGAGAACTTCTCCCCATATGCAGAAGTTTCATTTCTTTGGGTTTTTTTTTGGGGGGGGTGGAACTGGGGAGAATGATTTGGCAAATGTTTCTAAGTTGGAAGTTTATAGCTGCTGTTTTAGGATTTTTCGGTTTTAAAGGTTGACTTGTTTGTTTCTATGTGTGTACCTTCAAGAGTTTATACATAAGTGTAGCACAGAGGTGAGAAGAGAGGGTCAGATACACTGGAATCAGACTCAGCAGTCATGACTTGCATGTGGGTGTTGGAGAACTGGGCAGGGTCCTCTCCTAAGCCTGTTTCTCCATTTTAGACATTGTCCGCAGACTTTCTGCTACAGGAGATGAGAATGTATCTGTCTTGTCTACTTCTGCTCCCTCCTTCCCCACCTGCCCTGACCTTTGACCTCCTTCCAGTCTCTCAGGGTAGATTCACAATAATTTGGAGGGAAGTCAGTACTCAACCAAGAATCAAGAGCTGTTTACAGCCAAATCTTAGACATATTATGATTATCTTTTCTTTTTCACTTGCCTTTTTGTTTTCTTTTGAGTTGACTGCCTCAGTCACCATGTCTTGACTGGGGTGATGAAAGGGTGAAGACAGGACAGACACACAGATACACGTAGGGAAAACCTGGGATGGGTGTGGTGTGTTCACTCTGATGTAGTCACAGCATTAGTTTTTATGTATGCATAGGAAGGAAGAACACCTCGGGTGCTGTCATCTGGGAGGAGGAAGCTGCTGTGGTCAACTGCTCCTGAACACTGCTCTTGGCCCAGAGCAAGGCTTTGCTGAGTCTTCGAGCCATACCTGGAGGGGGCTTTGCTTATTCCCATGGGTCTAGGCTTGGGGTCCTTGCTAAGAATGGGCATCTACTCAAAACCTCATCAGTTCCTTATATTCAGTGTTGGAAGTTCCTATTCAAGGATCACAAATACAACTTCAGGCTCTCAGCTAGACTGGGACAAAACCTTTGATTATAACCAAAGACTTAAGGCGACCCATTAATTCCGTCTTGTCCTTGAAGATCCCTCGGGAGCCCCTGTACTTTCTCATCTTTTTTTTTTTCCTCTTTGGGTCTGTTGCCCAACTCTCCTGCGTCAGGTGTACACTTTGTCTTCTGACAAGAACTTGGTCTTGATTATTTTCTTGTCTGCATGATTTGGGTTATTGGAACAGTTGACCGTGTTCAATAGAAATTAGATGAACTAGAAGACAGTGAACATCTTTATCATATTGAATCTTCATATCCATAGGCTTGGATTTCTATTTCATTTTGGTCCTTAATGGCTGTCATAATAAAATTTTATAATTTTCTTCTCTAAGATTGTCTACCTTTATTAAACTTATACCCATGTATTTTTGGCAGCAATTGTAAATGTTGCCTGTTTTCTCGTGATTGTTTGGTGAGTATTTCTCTCTTGATACTACTTCAGCTATCTCCTTCCACCTTTACTTGGGCTCCAGGGATCACACTCAGGTCATCAGGCATGTGCAGTAAGTGATTTTACCTACTGAGCTCTCTCCCCAGCCCTCCAGCTGCTCTGAAGATGCATCCCTAGCTCCTCAATTTGCATGCCAAGCTTTCTTCTTCTTTTTAAAATTCTGTGATGTATTTTGGTGTGCCATTGTATTTATTTATCTTGTTTGAAATTCATTGTGCTTCTAGATTTGAGAATGCATGGAATATCCTGGAATTTTCTTCCCATAATCTCTTCAAATGTCTCTCTTATCCTTTCTAGGCTTTCTCTGTGCCTTTTGAAACCCTAGGTAGGCATTTTTGATGCCTATCTTTCTCATTCTTTTCTCTATACCTCTGAATTTGTATTTCTGCATATGAAATATAAATTAAGTATATGTTTATATCTATGTTTTGGGCCTTTATAAATTATTGTTAATGAAATATTTCATTAGTTATATGTTTAATTGCTCATTTTTTTGATGACTTGTCTTTTTAACAGAAGTAGAAACTTTTTGTATGTCTGGTACATGTATGTATACACGTTCACACGAATATGTGTTTGGGAGTGTACACGCGGGTGGAGGTTAGAGATCCATGTTAAATGTCTTCCTCAATTGCTCTTCACCTTGTTTGTCGAGACAGGGTCTCTTGTTGAATCTGGAGTTCACTGGTTCAGCTAATGCAGGCTATCTAGGAACCCTTAGGCATCCTCCTGTTTCAACTGTCCAACACAGTTGACAGATTTTTGTGTGGCTGCTGGGGATCCAAACTTAGGTACTCATGGCTGTGTGACAAGCATTAATGGATCCTCTCCCTAGAACCTAGACTTTATTTTTTTAGAGTAGATTTAGGTCCACTGCAAAACTGTGTGGTAAGTACATGGAGTT